CTTAATGATGCTGTGCTGGTGAGGGAAAGACGCCTGTGGATGTTCCCACTCTGTCAATTCCTTGTTATGATTAACTCATCTGTTTAAAAACTGGCAATTTTACAAAACATTCTAAGATGGAACAAAGGCAGGTACAGGTCTGATGATAGCAAATTTGACTGTGCACCATCACCAGGCATAATTACCTGGGCTGTGGGAGCTTTCAGCAGTGACTGGTACAGAAGATGTCACATCCAATGATTCACCAGTCATACAGGGGCCACGAATCAAATGTCTGTTGGGAATTGCCAAACTTCAGTTTATCTTTTGTTTTCTATTCCTTTATCAGATGTTGAACATGTAATTCTGTTTCATACAGAGAAATTCTATTTCTAGGAGCTCTTTACAATTTAATCATAGCCATTTATTTTTGTTTTTAAAGCAAGAAAGGGTTCTTTATTGTCATATGAAATAAATGATGAGTATTTCAAAGGTATTTGAGTGAAGAAATTATTCAAACATGTATCTCCAAATTTCTGAAGTTGAAAAACTTCCCTTCAGAGGGTTAAAAAAAAAAAAATTAGGGGTGAGGAAAAGGAGGAGAAACGGGGAGGGGAGGGGCAGGAGGAGCCAGAACAGTTTGAAGTTTATTATACTTTTTTAATACTTTTCCCTATCTACACCAAAAAAAAGTCAATTTATTGTAATAAGCTAATTTAAAATATAAATCTACAGTTTTCACAATGAAACAAATTTTGGAGTGATTTAAATGAAATGAAATAATTAAACATGGCAATGGTTAAACATAACTTGACGTAACTAAGGTCTTAGATTAGAACTTTGATTTTAGCAGAAACATGCAAGACTCAATGTCATCACACCCTGGGATGTGTATCAACCTGATTGCTGTTTACATCTTCAACATGTTCATTTGCTAATGCTCCTTTTTTTTCCTGCCAAGACAAAGCAAGATGAAAAAGCTCCAAGCCCTCAGCAAGGCCAGAATGTTCATCTTTTACTCTGTGTTTGCTAAAAGCCTACTTTCCTGGCACCAGGAGGAAGGAGAGATTCAGTGGTTTGGCACTGATACCGGCTGAACAGGAATTTACAGCCAAATCGATGGTGCCTGAAGGACTGGAGGAGGTAATGATGATGATGGTGGGAACGATCGTGATGATGGCAGCATTAGGTTATTGAGCCAGTGGCTGAGCCAAGGGCTTTAGGTTGACTTATTTATGTTCATAGCAATCCCTGAGGTAGATACTATTAACATCATCACGTTCAAGATGAGAATATTTTATGCTCTAGGAAGGTTTAGTGACTTTCTGAGGTCTCACAACTGGGGACTGGTGGAGCCTGGAAGTGATCTGGGGAGGGCTGAAGCCAGTTTCCTTGCCTTTATCCTCCTTGCCCTATGATGCTATGATATTCCCGGTTGGAATGTTATAACAGTTTGCATTTCAGATTTTAACATAAAGGTACTAGAGTTACTATGGTAATAGATGGATATGATATTGGCTCTGTTGCTGGCTTGAAATAACCAAAGGCAACATGCTATACGATGAAATGGTATTCTAGCTTTATAAAGCATAACCCATTTGAAAAATGTTCACTTGGACTTGCTTGGCAAGTTAAGGTCCACTTTTGGTGAGAACGATGGTTACCATGTCTGAGTAATCTATGACCTCTTCAAACTCTAATCATTGATGCCTGTGATCACATTCACTGGCTCTTGGTTCAACAAGACTTTCTCAAAGTGGTTCAAGGGAGAAGAATAGGTGTTTCTTTAATGAAACACCTATTTGTGATTAAACTCTCTAGAATAAAGAACATTAAACAGACTTCTTTACTGCAGTTCTTCTGAGAGGCTTTAATGTGCTAATATGTATCTCAATTTTCCTAGAAAGAGTATGCAAGTTTCCCAGACTTAGTTGACCTTAGAGCATGTTGTTGGATTTGGCTTTCCATGAAATATACTTTAGGGGACTAATGTATTTCTTTCTTTGCTCTCTGAGGGCAGAGAACCACCTGAGTAACCATGACCATCTCCACAACTTCTAGTGCCACATCCTCCTTAGTGCGGTGAGGGTTGCAGGAGAGTTTTGAGAAAGAGGACCAACATCTGCTGCATGGACCTGGATTCAGTGGCAGAGCTTGGCTCCCGCAGTGCAGGTCTGCTGTTGCCGCCACTGGTTGTATACTCCATGGGCAATACGGGGCAGAGCTAACAGGGAAGTTGGGTTTGCCCTGCACTCCCTCTGTGGCTGGGGATTATGGGTTACTCCAATTTGCCTCTATCATTGAGCAAAGATGAGAATAAGGCAAGTCCTCTGATGGTGATGGTGGAGGGAGGCTGCTCACTCATTCCCCCCTCTACCCCCCAACCCCGTTTACAACCCTGCATACATCCTCAAGGCGGCAGTCCTACTATTCACACCACGGGTCTGAGAATGCTCATGTTAATCGTTCGCTGTTGACCTTCTAGATCCACGTTCTATCCTTCTTTGTCCTGCCCTGTTCCCTGGGAGGCTGACCTATTTGGACTTCATTACCAGGGCTTCCTGGCTGGCTGGGATGGGTTTGGCCAGTGGAGATGCCAGAAGTAGATCAAGGAAGTATTAGAAGAGTGTTTCTTCCCCACTCTCACTCTGTGGGCATCGGGGTTCTGGTTGCAGCTCCAGCCCTGTGGTTATAGCTCCCTCTAGGGGCTGTTTTCCAGGCTTCCTCTCTCCCTGGGCCCTGGTTACACTGTCTAGGGCTGGCAGCGGCTTCCTTCTATTGCTACTATTCCACCTCAGCATCCCTTAACCTTGCCCACACTTGAGTTAACAACCCCTTCATGAAATGCTCCTCTTCCAGCCAGACCCCAGCAGGTATAGCGGAGCTCTTCACAGCAAGAGTTTAAAATACCTAGAGACTCGGGCATTCAGCCCAGGAACTGAGCCCTCACTGCGTACTGTTGTGGAGGCTGGGATTAGCCCCAGGTTGTTCCTGCCTTTAGGGGAGACAAGAGTTGATTTCACAGCACTAATGCCAGATAGCAGGTCAGACGCGTCAAAGCTGAGAGAGGAAGGGAATTCTCAAATACCCATGCCCTCTGCTCATTAAGGGGGTTAACAAGGCAGTTTATGAAAACAGGAGATTGGATATGTAAATGTGATGTTTCTTTATCTTATGTAGCTCTGGAACCTTCAGAAGTATTTTTAATTTTTTTCCTTTTTTCCCATTTTGCTCAGGACCCATCTGAGCCTGGAAAGAGAGGCCACAGTAAGAACAATCCAAGGTCCTGGGGAGATCCTTTCTCTCCCTCCCTGTTACAAAAGCAACACCAGTGAAGCCTAGTGTAACTGGCAGAGCTGGGAGTCTTCAGAAGTATTTTTAAAAGTGAACATCCTCAACTAAATGTTCTTTCTTTCCCCCGAGTCCTGTCCTGCAGTAACCAATGTTCAGGAGGCGAGAATAGTGTCACCGTTGCTATTTCTAACAGTCCCTAGGTTCCCCAGCACAAAGGAGAACAGCGGAGGAGTGCAGGACTGCTCTTTCTTCTGCAGACCAACAAAAGCCGCGATTTAATGAGATCAGCTGCACCCAGAGGACAGTTTAAGAACCGCCCTGGCTTCTCAGCTGAATTCCATCCAAGAGCAGCAGCAGAGAGGCAACGTGCCCATGGCTCTGTGATCTGTTGAATTAAAGAGAGGAAGAGTCATCCCTTCCCTGACTCAAAAGCCCATAGAATTCAAAAGAATATGGATGGAGTTTCTTCTGAGGTGAAATTTAAAAAGCTGAAGGCTGGGGGAAGGAAAGGAAGAGGAATAAGGCAGTTAACTCTTTGGGAACAGGAGAAGCATGAGGGGTGCAGGACAGGGGAACAATCACCTACAGACTGGGCCTTCCAGCCACCGTCCCTCTGGGGCTTCTGACATCTTCAGTCTGTAAGTGGATGCATTTTAAATTGAAACTGTCAATGAACTCAAGGAAAAAACAAAACAAAACACATAACTTACAATTAAAGGATCTTACAAGATGAAAACTCCAATAAGGCCATTGCATTCTTTTCAATATGCTCCTTGGAGGTAAAAATAAAAGGGCAGGGTATCTTTAAGTATGCCATGAGAACTGACCATTGTCATTTAAACCAGATATTTCACACACTGTTTTTTGATACCATACTTTGTAAAAAATACATTCGTTTGCTAGTGAACCCTGTCTTTAACCTTTTCAATTCAGTGTGTCCAGGATCCGGGCCATCTCAGGACTCAGCTGTGTTAGAGACACATTTAAAGAACAGAGACCCTGCATGTGAGAAGTCAAGCAGTTCTTTTAAAAAAGGACATCATTCCTCTGGCGTAGTCATACATCAGCTAATCATTCACTAAGTGCTTCCTCTGTGTCAGGCTCTGGGTGGTGCACTGGGGTAGGCTACAGACATAAAAGGTGGTAAACCCTGTTTTTCAGGAATTTATATATCGTGTTCCCAATCTGGGGCTGATTTTGCCCTGCCCCAAACCCCTAACATTTGACAGTGTCTGGAGACATTTTGACTGTCACACTGGGAGTATGCTGCTACTGGCATCTAGCGGGTAGAGACCAGGGGTGCTGCTAACTATCCTACTGTGCACAGGACAGCCCCACACAAAGAATTATCTAATCCAAATGTTAATAGTGCCAGCCTAATGGGAGATGGATGAGGGAACAGAAAAGATGCAAAGTATGAAAAGTGATCAGACAGATACATGCATAGGCTTTATGGGAGCCCCAAGGGAGAGTATCTTCAACTTTTAAAGTGAAACAAGCATTAGTATAGATATATGTAAATTTATTCATAGAGATAGGATCTCACCATGTTGACCAGGCTGGTCTCGAACTCCTGGCCTCAAGCAATCCTCCCTTGGTCTCCCAAAGTGCTGGGATTACAGGCGTGAGCCATCACACCTAGCCTGCATTTAAAAAAATTTGTTGTTGTTTCAACTTTTATCAAAAAATACTTCAGGTTGGACACAATGGCTCTTGTCTATAATCCCAGTACTGTGGGAGGCCAAGGCAGGAGGATCACTTGACAGGTCAGGAGTTCTAGACCAATTGGGGCAACAGAGCAAGACCCCATCTCTACTTAAAAAAAAAAAAAATCCTGAACAAAGCGGGAGGCATCACACTACCGGACTTCAAACTATACTACAAGGCTACAGTAATCTAAACAGCATGGTACTGGTACCAAAACAGAGATACAGACCAATGGAACAGAACAGAGGTCTCAGACGCAACGCAACATATCTACAACCATCTGATCTTTGACAAACCAGACAAAAACAAGCAATGGGGAAAGGATTCCCTGTTCAATAAATGGTGTTGGGAAAACTAGCTAGCCATGTGCAGAAAGCAGAAACTGGACCCCTTCCTGACACCTTACACTAAAATTAACCCCAGATGGATTAAAGACTTAAACATTAAGACCCAACACCATAAAAACCCTAGAAGAAAATCTAGGCAAAACCATTCAGGACATAGGTGTAGGCAAAGACTTCATGACCAAAACACCAAAAGTATTGACAACAAAAGCAAAATAGACAAATGGGACCTAATCAAACTCCACAGCTTCTGCACAGCAAAAGAAACAGTCATTAGAGTGAATCGGCAACCAACAGAATGGGAAAAAATTTTTGCAGTTTACCCATCTGACAAAGGGCTGATATCCAGAATTTACAAAGAACTAAAACAGATTTACAAGAAAAAAACTAAGAAGCCCATTCAAAACTGGGCAAAGGATATGAACAGACACTTTACAAAAGAAGACATACATGAGGCCAACAAACATGAAAAAATGCTCATCATCACTGGTCATCAGAGAAATGCAAATCAAAACATTGAGATACCATCTCACGCCAGTCAGAATGGCGATCATTAAAAAAATCTGGAGACAACAGATGCTGGAGAGGATGTGGAGAAATAGGAACACTTTTACACTGTTGGTGGGAGTGTCAATTAGTTCAACCATTGTGGAAGACAGTGTGGCGATTCCTCAAGGACCTAGAAATAGAGATTCCATTTGACCCAGCAATCCCATTACGGGGTATATATCCAAAGGATTATAAATCGTTCTACTATAAGGACACGTGCACACGAATGTTCATTGCAGCACTGTTTACAATAGCAAAGACCTGGAACCAACCCAAATGCCCAACGATGATAGACTGGACAGGGAAAATGTGGCGCATATACACCATGGAATATTATGCAGCCATCAAAAACGATGAGTTCGTGTCCTTTGTAGGGACATGGATGAACCTGGAAACCATCATTCTCAGCAAACTGACAGAAGAGCAGAAGATCAAACACCGCATGTTCTCACTCATAGGCGGGTGTTGAACAATGAGAACACATGGACACAGGGAGGGGAGCACTACACACTGGGGTCAGTTGGGGGGAAATAGGGGAGGGACGGTGGGGGGTGGGGAGCTGGGGAGAGATAGCAAGGGGAGAGATGCCAGTTGTAGGTGATGGGGGGGAAGGCAGCAAATCACACTGCCACATGTGTACCTATGCAACAATCTTGCATGTTGTTCACATGTACCCCAAAACCTAAAAGGCAATAAAATAAATAAATGGGAAAAAAATCCTGTAATAACAATTTCTGATTTCTGGGAGCAGCATTCATTAGAGCAATATCTGGAAAATTCTTATTAGCTATTTCCTGAAATACTCAACAGTGATCATGAATATTTACCTGTAAGATTTTTTTTTATATTGTTTTTTCTTCATCACAAATCAAAAGGACTGAAAAATCCATTACTAGCAAATATACCTATTATGCCAAACTGAACACGCAATTCCTCAAGGGGCAGTGACAGCGTTCTTGAACTCCAGAGTCATCAGTCACATGCACCCCTCCTGCAGGCCACCTAGACTCTTGACAGCCAATAATTTTTTATTCTCTTTGAAAGGAAGGGGGAAATTACAAAATCCTTTAACCTAACATAGTCATGGTTTGTTAAACCATGAGGATATATTATGAGAAATGCATAATTGTGTGAGCATCACAGAGTGTACCTATGCAAACCTAGATGGTATAGCCTACTTCACGCCTAGCCTGTTGCTCCTAGGCTACAGCATGTTACTGTACTGAATACTATAGGCAACTGTAACACCACGGTAATTATTTATATATCTAAACATAGAAAAGGTACAGTAAAAATCCAGAATTATAATCTTACGGGACCACCACCATTATATATGTGATTTGCCATTAACCAAAACCTTATTATGCAGCACATGACTATAATTATACTTGCAAATACCTTTTAGGAGTACAAACTAAATGGAATTGAATCTGAAGAAAGGTAAATGTAAGGACTGTTTTCTCCTCCCTCCCCCAAGTACATTGGTAAGTTTCCACAGGGAACCAGCTGACTTGGCTGATGGTCTTTAACCCTTCTAAATGTTGAAATGGATTAAGAACAGCTTCCCCTACATCCCCTTCCTCTTTTCCAGACATCTGGTAGACCTCACTCCCTTTTCCTGTGACCCTGACTCTCAGGCATGGCTTCCTTCAGGCAGAAAAGGACCTGGCACCAGGGAAGGCCCAGCTACCTAAGTCAGGGTCCTCAGAAGAAGCAGCAAGTAAACACGGGGTGAATGAGGCAGATGAGTCTTCTGGGCCACTCTGCCTACACTTCAGTAAAAATGGATGCTTCTTCAATAAAGCAGAATCACCAATAGGACTTGTTTGATTTCCTTTCTTTCTCAAGTGTCTTTCTCCCGAAAGCAGCAAATGCATACTTGTCCCAGGATGAGAGAAAGAGCTAAGGGTGTGTGTTATTAAAGTTGGAACCACTTTTAACAACTGATTCCTTAGTGAATTTTAATGGGATCATTTTAGGAGTTGGCTGATGACATGCCTTCCAAATACTAATAAGAATAGCCAGCATTTATTGTGTACTTTTTGCCAAGCATTATGCTAAATGTTTTATTTTCAAAGAAGAAATGTAATTGTAAATATAGTTGATGTTAGGCATTTCCTCTTGATCGGCAGATCCACTAGCAATGGCTGGTTAGCATCCTAGTGGGGAGCATAGGAATGGGGGAGGGGAAGTGATGGCAGTCTGAGGTCTAGATGTGGTCATGAGGTAATGCAATAGAGTCTTACTCAGTTCCCAGAGTGCTTGGACAATTCTGGGGTAGTGAGGTAGACTCAGAAGAAAGGCAGTGGGCTTCTTGTTGCTAATGCCACAAGGAGGCTTGGTGATTCATTGGAAACATAAATTATATATGATCGTGTTGGTATCTTACATTAGGGAAGCAGAGAAGACTAGTTGTAGTAACTTCAGTTCTTTTGGCAACCGCTTCATCCCCTGGAGTGGCACTGGCGATGC